GTAACAAAGCAACCCGCATCGTACAGTTTGTCTTGGTGGTCATGTAGCTGGTGACCATGATACTGTATCAGAGTCTTCGTATGTTACAGTAAATCCGTTCCATTCCATCCGTAATCCGAAACCTGTTTCTTCCTGGTAAAGGCAGACTGGAGCCTTTCATGGAAATACAGGGTGAAAGCACAATTTCGGACATCACAGTCAAAACTGTCCATCACAGGTTGGATACATACACATTGGAGAAATTAGAGATGATAGAAATTGATCTAATCGGCATGTCTTTAGTAAGTGGGAGGAGATTGGTACACCCAGCAAAAATCAAGACACACACACAAAAACATGCAAACTTCACGTCAGGCACCCGAATCTGGAATCCAACCCAATATCCAAAACCTGTCAGGTGACAGTAACGGTTCTACAGCACCCATTCTAACACTGCAGAAATCTTAATAACAATCAAAGCTTCGTTTCAGAATTTAATTAAGCCAATTTGTGCTTTCATCAAGAAGATTACCGTCATTCCTCGTTTTTAACCTGTTATCATGACCGCTGCTGGGACTGCTTCTGTGTTTGGTGCTAAGTTTTGGTCTGAACAGTGGAAATATTCTGGAATATGTTACCAAGTATTTTCATAATGTAGGCACACCTTGAAGTGACATTTACACGCGATTTCTGTTTCCACGTACAAATTGTATGCGCGTTTCGGATCCATCGGCGACAACACGCCGTGCAGTCCGGGGTTGCAGTATAATCAGAAACCTTAAGCACCCCTTTCTACAGATGCCAAACATTTTCTTGGTTGGAAAAGCAGTAAATACCGGTGTGGAATAATTATTTATCACAATAATTTATATGTATTAACATTCTACATACATTTTAATAGTAGATGAGGCAATTAATACCGCAATTAAACGTATTTAAACGTAGGAGAAAGCAAACCAATATCCGAAATTCACCCTTTTTTATTTTTGTTGATTTTCCCGTTTGTCCTGTACATTTTGCAATCTTAGTTTTAACTATGCGGGTCAGTGTACCTACAGTACACTGAAAGACTTCCGCCTTTTCAGTTCTTGTAAGATCTGAGCACCTTCTTTCTGGAAAGAAAGGAGATGCATTTCCTTAAAGCTCATTC